TTTTGTTCAAATAATCGCTTTTGGTGGTAAGATTCAATCCAGATCGGCTGTGTGGTATGTGTGGTGTTGGCATCTTAAAATAGACTCAGACGCATTGTATGGAAACTTGAATTGAAGCCAGCGTCGGTCCTGGTACCCCTTCACTTGCGGAAAACAATCCGACATTTTTTCACCAAACAGCGAGCTCGGCCTGCCTCTCTCGCGTGTGCACGGGCGAACGGGGGATTAGCTAATGAATTCTCGCGGCACATTAATTACTTTTTACACTTCAAACTTCATCCCCAAACGACTGGCGACTGGTGAAATGAGACTCTATACTTTCAAAAGGGAGAAGGAGGGAGAGAGTTTTTAAATTGAAATCTGAGGGGAAAAAAACGCATTGGCTTTGAGCAAAGGTTTGAAACTTTAGCGACAGTGATCAGAGCGACTGCAGACTGTAGTGGGGTTTTAATGAGCAGATAAATGACTTTGATTTGGATGTGTTTAAGCTTGGCACACGAAGAACAGAAGGCATTCCCTTTTTATATCCATAGGAGGTATTTTTGAGTCTTTATAACACTGTGCCAAATGCAATATAATATCAGTCATCAATATATACAAAAAAATTAAGTGGATGAATGGAAATCAGCTGGAAAGTCCCCCTGGCTGGAAGGTCCCCAAGATGGAAAATTGCCCTGAATTGTATCGTTTATGAGTTAGTTAATCTATATACATATAAATAAATAAAAACAACATTTTTTTCATCATATATTGCATTAATTCCACATGTAAGTGACACTACATCTCAACACATTTGTTCATGTTGAGCATAAGCAACTATTCTGATTTGGGAAGGATGAGCACCCTGCTTTTATCCCCTGTTGCATGACATGACACCTGACATGAGATGATCATGTTCATAGCAAGCAGGTAAGGAAGTAATTAATATTTCTTCCCAAATCAACAGTTACAGAGGTTAAAGGACATGGGGAACATGAAAAAAATACTTAAAATATAATTTCATAGTAAATTTCTGTGGGCAAATGAGGATTATTTTGATATTATATACTGAAAAAATGTGTGCCTTGTCGGGAAGATCAGTAAAATGACATAAACAAGACCCGACATTTGGTCTCGCTACATTCACATTTCATTTTGTTATGATGTAGAATGCTGATTTTCTGCTGAAGTCTATACATCACAGTGCGTGACGCGGCCTACTAAAGGCCGGAGAGAATGTCCTCCCTGTCCCGGGCACGGCAGTTACCCGTGTGCCCCCCAAGAGAAGGGTGCACCCAGAATGAGGAGGGGGACGTTCCTGCCAAGAGAATGGGACGCTTGAGCTGGGACTTTCAAGCCAGGGGGACACTCGAGCCGGTATCTGAATGAATGATTTTAGTATAGTACTGGTAATTCTAGTGCCCTTGCTTAGTCCTGCTTCCAGCTTCCTAGTTTAGACCTAATGAAGTGAACTTTTGTATTGTTGCATATGAAGGTGACACTAGTGGGGTAGTCAAAAACATTGATACTAAAACTAGTATGATATAATCATATTTGGCCTACGAGATGATATCAAATATGTATTAAAGCTGACCCGCCAGCTACAGACATTACTTATTTAAAATGTTGTTATTATTTTATATTATGCTTGTTCTGGATTCTTTGTTTAAGCAAAACTATTATTAAACATTTATTTATTTATTAATAAGAAAAGATTTAACATTACATATCTTGAAAGAAGAGAAAACATGCATTTTTCAATAAATATATAGTTTAGCCCATGACTTAGTCCCAGTTTTTAATTTTGGCCCTCTGTGAGTTTGAGTTTGACACCCTTGATCTTGAGCTGTATCAGAACAAATAAAAGAACGTAATGGACTTGTATACGCTCATGGATCACTATGGAACATACCTGGACAAATGAGGTCACATGGTAACATAAAAGAAAGCATCATGTTGTTGTTAAATGCAATATTTTTTGTATTATTTGTACAGCACTACACTGTACTCAGAGCGGACCACATTTGATCGCGGCATCTCTTTTTACAAGCTCACATAGACTTCAACAGTCCATCTCTCTCTCCCTCCCTCCTTCCTTCTCTCTCCCTCTCTCTCTCTATCACTCTCACTAGATTCGCGGAGATGCCCACAGCCAAAACCAGATCCTTTCTTGTTTCTTGTTCTCCCTCCTTTTTGCGCATCTCCCTTGTCCTTCTCTCTCTCTCTCTTTCTCTTCCATCCCCTCATCTTCCAGTTTCTCCGACAAAAACACACAATTTCATTTCATGTTTCAAATGAGGCTGAAAAGTAATTATAATTAACTTCTTAACGTCTTAAATGTTGGAAACTACTAAAATAATTTACAGCTCCAATTATAACCAGCTCAGATGTGGGCTTCTCGATCCTCCCCTGGTCTATAATGGAAAACAATTATTTCACTTCATTAAGATTAAAGAGGCGTGGATCAGTGTCACAACTCCATCAGAGAGCAGACAGATTTAGAAACTTGTCAAATTAACATAAACTCGCTCGGAGACGTGGGAGGGGAGATGCATTTATTCTTCTGTTACTTTCAAACACGCGGCGTGACAAGACGAGACGCGGGCTCGTGTAAATGTCACAAAGCGCTGCGTTTTTAGAGGACAGGCGTCTCCAAAGCCAATGTGACTTTTGCTTGAGATTTGACGAGACATGTTCATAATGGCGGAATTAACACTTGAGGAAAGAAGACCAAATGTGTTTCTGTCAATTTGCTAAAAACAAGGAGAAAGAAAAACAGAGGAAATATGCGTCCTTGTTGCGGATGACGCGCCAGGTAGTTATAATTAAATGAATCAAAGGAAGAGAGAGATGTTTTGCAGGTTTGGAATACTTTGTGCAAAACAGCTTGTCCTTATTTTTCGTTTGTCACCTCAACTTCAACATTAGACTGAATAAACTGAACTTATTGATTTACCATAACTATAATGAACATTGAATATGGATGTAATAACAAACTTGTACCCTCCAGCTCTATAATTATGCGTTTTTTCATATAAGGGAACACATTCTTTCATCTTATGCCAGCTTCTATATATACATCCACTTTGTTTTTACATCACAACACCAGAGACCACTACTTTTTACCCCCCTGCCCGTCTCCCTCGACAGTGGAGCCGCGTGTTGTCTTGTATTTACTTGCAAATTAACAGCGCTCAAATTCCCAGAGAGAGGGCCTCAAAGAAATTCCTCACATTTGTTACCCCTGAGGACCAAATGGCCACGAAGAGGAGGGGCAGGAGGGTGGATACGGGGCATTGCCTGCAGCCACGGGCGCAGGGAGGGAGGGGACGCACGGGGAGGTGAGTGAAGCTTCGGCAGGACGGGCATTAACACGTTCTTGTGTAATTAATTGACTAATTTCTATGCAAATCGCAAAGTGAGGAAAGCAAAGGGCTGAAAACGACGGCTTCTGGAAACGTCTCGGGTTTAATCACGCGTAAAACGTCCTTGAATGCAAAGAGCAGCGAGTTAAACAGTAGGATTTTTTTTTAGGTCAGCTTTCTAATACACGAACCTGACAGGCAAGTTACTTTTCATTCCCTGGGAGGAGAAAAGTGAAGCCGGAAATAGTGCACGCGTTACGGTAAGAGGCAGGTGAGAGGAGCTCAATGGAGAAGCGTGCAACTTGAGCTACGCTTGGATTCGCAGTTTCCAAAGAAGCATTAAAAATTTCAATAAAATGTAACACATATCTTGAGTCACTGTGTTCATACTTTGTTTTACGCAGCCTAAGTTGTTATTACGATGTTAGGCGTTGCGAGAAGTCATCACCAAAGCAATAAAACGCCTCTTGTTCGTGCATAACTAAGTCATACCGTCACTACTGGCTTCTCTGACTCCGCATTCGCCCTAATTACAACCAGAAAAATCAACATTACGCACGGGGCGCATATGGATCAAGTTAAAACGCAAGTTCGCATGTCCGGGTCAGATCGCGTCGCAGGGCTGCACGACGTCTTTAATCAAACATGCCATCACTGTGTGGACACTTTTCACGTTCATTAGGTTTCATTGCATGCGGCGGGGAGTGAAGTTAGGAGAAGAAGACGGGTCATTTGGTTTGCAGGGGACCGGGGGGCTGCGCGGAGCTTTAAAACCTAACCGAGCGTCTCTCTTGCGTCCTCATCCACTGAAAACAACTGAACCAGAACTTGTAACGAGTCAGTGTGATGTCCTTATGAATCTCAGAGCGAATAAAGTCAATACAGATGATAGAGTGTGAACGATATCCGCAGCCTACGTGTCCGTGCGTACCAAACTTTTACCCCTTTCAGCCTGCATCGTCTCCTTTGCGCTTGCACCGCTTTCCAAACGTCTTTAAAACATTATCAGCAGGTCATCGTGCGTAAAACCAAGAAATCCACACTACACTAGCAATCAATGGAGGTCGTTTTACAAGTTTATGACAGTTCGTCGACCTCACTACCTGGCGCGCAACGATATCACACTTTTTACGAAGAAAGGGACGAGGAAAGCACAGTTAACCCACTTTAACCTTTTTAAATGCAAATGCCTCCTGAAGTTGAGGTGAGGTAACAATACCAGCTTCCTATCGTTCACTGAGAGCGTAAAGCAAATAAAAAGATTCTTTGCAAAGTTCACTAAGAGGCAAACCACAGAATTCCTCAATACAAAGCTGCAAAATGCCAACTTTTTAGCGCGTAAAAGCGTGAAAAAAGCTTTATTTATCGCTGGACAACTTCGTAAACCTTGCGAGTTCAAAGAGAAACCGACGACCCTCCACAGGCTACGGAATACGAGTCGTGGCAAAACACCTTTCACGCCTTTTGAGCACGATTAAACCACCTAAAATGCATTAATAAGGGTTAGTTAAGCATTCACAGCAAGTGGATTAACTTTGCGTACGTCCACGTTGGCAAAGCTGTGAAAATTAAAGCTTTACGAGGATGCACGTAACGTCGAACCAACTTTTTTTCCCCACGAAACAAAAGCAACATTTTGAAGTACGCAGCTCTTACCTGTTGGAATTTGAGCTGACACCGGCGCGGAGAAGAGAAAAAAGACAAGTCCAAGAAAAACGAAAAGTGTATCCATGTTTGAATCGCTGCGTAAAAGTTTCAACCCGGCGACTTTCTCCGGTCTCTCAGCCCCGTCCTCTCGCCGTGAATCGCTGGAAATAGAAGTTTGTTTTGGTAGTTAGTCCTCCAGCGACGGTAAAAGCGCGGTCCCCATGCTCTCGAGGCTTCGGTCCGGTGTGCTGGCGGGTGTCGGGCGGCTCGTTTGCCCGCGGACAGTCGGACGGAGGCGGAGGGTAGAAAGTGGCACACACCGGGATAAGGACAGGAGTGAGCACAGCGCGAGACTGAAGCACGGAGAGCGCTCGAGCAGCCACAGCGCGAGCGAAACTGTGACGTCAGCAGGCACGAGCTTGATTGAAAAAAAAAAAAAAAAAAAAAAAAAAAAAAAGGAAAAACATATAGGTACGTTTAAGATAAATATTAGACAGTCTAGCTTATATCGTGGCCCATACTTTTTTTCTTTTTTTTTTTTTACTTTACATTTAATGACTCAATTAAGTCTAAATCTAAAACTAGGGCCTAAAACAGCCTATTGTGTTGAACTCATAACAAGAGACAAGTATCAAATAAGGCATACACTGGAAAAAAAAAAAAACAATATCTAAGTTTAAAAATGACTTAAATTAAGAACATTTGACTTTATTTGAGTAGATTCAACTTCACAAGTAAAATTATCTACCCATGGATTAAGTGTGCTTTTTTTAAATTCAAGCAATATTCAATTTCTTTTTTCATATTTTAAGTGCAAAAATAGTTGTTTTTCTTATTTTCAGTGAACCAAGATGCAAAAAGACAAAAAGTCTTATTCCACTGGCAGATCATTTTACTTGTCAAGTGAAATTTACTCAAATCATGATAAAACTTTCTTAATCCAAGTCGTCTTAATTTGACTAAACTTTGTTTTTTGTAGTGTAATTATATAAATGTAAATGTACAAAGTCAAAATAAAATAGAAAAATAAGTAATAAAATATAAAATCACAGCTTTATACAAGAGGTCAGAGGTTAAACAGTGATATGATGATTGACAGGACATAGGATTGTTCATGACATAAGGGTGAGTTGTTGTACAGTTGTAGGGAGCATTATCTGTTACATAAGAGTGAGTTGTTATAGAGTTGTAGGGAGTATTATAGTATGAATGTAGTCCTGTATCTGTTTGAGTGAAGCTGTAGTAGGCTGTTGGAGAATGAGCTCCTCTGTCCCTCTATAGTCTGGTACAGTGTGTGAGTTGTTGTACAGTTGTAGGGAGTATTATCTGTCCCTCTATAGTCTGGTGCAGTGTGTGAGTTGTTGTACAGTTGTAGGGAGTATTATCTGTCCCTCTATATATTCTGGTGCAGTGAGTGACTTGTTGTACAGTTGTAGGGAGTATTATCTGTCCCTCTATAGTCTGGTGCAGTGGTGAGTTTGTTGTACAGTTGTAGGGAGTATTATCTGTCCCTCTATAGTCTGTTGCAGTGGGTGAGTTGTTGTACAGTTGTAGGGAGTATTATCTGTCCCTCTATAGTCTGGTGCAGTGTGGGAGTTGTTGTACAGTTGTAGGGAGTATTATCTGTCCCTCTATAGTCTGGTGCAGTGTGTGAGTTGTTGTACAGTTGTAGGGAGTATTATCTGTCCCTCTATAGTCTGGTGCAGTGTGCGAGCTGTTGTACAGTTGTAGGGAGTATTATCTGTCCCTCTATAGTCTGGTGCAGTGTGCGAGCTGTTGTACAGTTGTAGGGAGTATTATCTGTCCCTCTATAGTCTGGTGCAGTGTGGGAGCTGTTGTACAGTTGTAGGGAGTATTATCTGTCCCTCTGTAGTCCTGAGCAGTGGGTGAGCTGTTGTGCAGTTGTAGGGAGTATTATCTGTCCCTCTATAGTCTGGTGCAGTTGTTGAGTTGTTGTACAGTTGTAGGGAGTATTATCTGTCCCTCTATAGTCTGGTGCAGTGGTGAGTTGTTTGTACAGTTGTAGGGAGTATTATCTGTCCCTCTATATATTCTGGTGCAGTGGTGAGTTGTTGTACAGTTGTAGGGAGTATTATCTGTCCCTCTATATATCTGGTGCAGTGGTGAGTTGTTGTACAGTTGTAGGGAGTATTATCTGTCCTCTATAAGTCTGGTGCAGTGGTGAGTTGTTGTACAGTTGTAGGGAGTATTATCTGTCCCTCTATAGTCTGGTGCATTGTATGAGTTGCTGTACAGTTGTAGGGAGTATTATCTGTCCCTCTATAGTCCGGTGCGGTGGGTGAGCAGTGTGAGTGTCCATGATGGAGAGCAGTTTGTCCAGTGTCCTCCTGTCCCTCACTGTGGCAAATGTCTCCAGCTCACAGTCGATCACGTGACCAGCTTTACAGATCAGTTTGTCAATCCGCTCAATGTCCCTTTAACTGGTGATTGATCGACTGATGTTCATTAAAAAAAACAAAAAACAAAACATATAGGTACATCTACAATAAATATTAGACAGTCTAGTTTACATCGTGGACCATACCTTCTTACTTTGCATTTAATGACTCAGTTAAGTCAAAATAAACAACTAGGGCCTAAAACAGCATATAGTCTTGATTTGATTGATTGAAGTTGATTTAAAAAAAGAAAAAAAAAAAAGAAGCAAATAGTTCATGATACTTTTAATTAAGGGCTCACAACGGAAGGGTCATGAGACAAAGTTACATTGGAGTCTTTTTACAATAACAATTATAACATTGCCATATAATAAACATAACACGAATAAATAATTATAACAATAGCATTCTTATTAAATTAAAAAATAAATAATGCACCAGTTGGATAGATCATTAATAATATTCTAAAATATGTCAAATAATGCATAAAAAGTACTATAATAAATAAATAAATAAATAATCATTGTTGCACTGTCTTCCTATGACCTCTTGTATAAAGCTGAGATTTTATATTTTATTACTTATTTTTTTATTTTATTTTGACTTGTACATATACATGCAATCTTTTTTGCTACTTATTTAGAATTTATTACCATTTATATTTTTGCTCTTTGTTATTATATTGTATTGTGATATTGTGATTGTGAATTACTGTGTCCAAATAATTTCTCTTGTGGATCAATAAAGTTTGTCTAAGTCTAAATCTAACAGGAATAAATAATTATAACGATAACATTCTTATTAAACAAAAAATAAATAAATAATGCATCAGTGAGATAGATCATTAACAAGTTAAAAGCGCAAAATATTCCAAAATATGTCAAATAAAATGCATAAAAAGTACTATATATAAATACTAGTATAATAAGTATACCACTATAATATAAAAATGCAGGGATTAGCATCAAATAACCACAGATGCATGCTTTTTGTTGACTTAAGTGACATACACAAAAATGTGAAGAACAGTAGTGGTAGTGTAGACATGAATTTAACTTTATTACAATGTTTACAATGTTGAGTAAACTTATTACTACTAGGTTATGTCAAAATTTTAAAATATCACATCAGAATACAAAACTGGAAAGCTTCTTAAGAAACCTATAAAAACAGAGTGAATACTTAACCCACATTATGAGGGCAGAGTGGTGTAACCCGGGGGCCCCCTTTAAGAGGTTTCCTGCAGAGATGTCACAGCAAATGGTCCGTGCTGTATTTCAGACGAGAGGGAGCCGAGGCCACTGATGATGTCACAGTGTGGGGGTGCAGCTTGGGGCCCCGTGAGAAGATCCCCACTTTTCTAGACTTAGACTTAGATGAACTTTATTGATCCACAAAGGCTTGGACACATTAGCTCACACATCACAATATATGATGAGAAGAAAATATATAAATGATAATAATACATTCTAAATAAGTAGCAAAAACAGCAAGAGACTGGTGTCAAATAAAGAAAAAAATATATAAATGTATATGAACAAGTAAAACTAAAATATGGAAATAAAGTAAGAACAATATATTTCACCTATACACAAGAGGTCATAAGAAAAACTGCAAAGATGACATGATGGTTGACAGGAAACATTGTTATCGTTTACATAAGAGTATCATATTTATCAGACTATACATCACACTTTTTTTCATGGCTTGGGTGGTCCTGTGACTTATACTCTGGTGTGACTTTTATATTAAAATTTTCACACTGAAGGTGTTTGCTGCTCCTGTTACTCCTGTACCACTGTCACGTGGCTCTACTGCACATGTCTCCTGCAGAAAGAGCCTCTGTCCTGTCTGTATCATGTCAGTCGATCACACCATTACTTCTTTACCACTGAAAATTTAAAACTTAAACAAACTTATTAAGACAACTAAGAAGACTGAACACAAATGCCACTGAAAAGAAAATCATATTTTGCAGATTACAAGCTGCAGGTAGCGAAATATGCAGCCAAAAACGGTAATCAAGCAGCAGAAAGAAGGTTTGGAGTAAGCGAGAAACTTGTGACAACTGGGAGGATGCAATGGATTGACAAAGCCTGGACTTCAGTGACAACAGAAACCATCCTGTCGGGATTCAGAAAGGCCAGAATAATTCTAACTGGAACTGATGCTGAGTCTGACGACAGATACGCAGAAGAGGAAGGAGCGCTCCATTTACATCCGGAGTTTACTTGCCTTTCAAGATAAAATGTCAGTTCCTGATCTCTAATTTTATAAAATAAATTTCCCCCAAAAAGTGTGACTCATAGTCCGGTGCGACGATAGACCTTTTTTTCTTCTTCATTACACATCTTTTGGCTGGTGCAACTTATACTCCGGAGCATCTTATAGTCCGAAAAATATGGTAAGTTGTTGTACAGTTGTATAAAATACGGTATAAATGTCGTCCTGTATCTCTCACTGTTAGAGATCAGTCAGTGAGAAAATGCCTTACCACAAAACATTGACTTTTTGAGGTATCTAACTACATTCACGCAATAAGTAATTTGTTTATTTATTTATCTTTCCCGAAACAAATTTTAATACCAGTGAGATTCCCGAGAACAACTACAATTTTGTAATATTCTTTGCGAAATCTTTGCAAATAACCAGGTTGATTATCCTTCAGCATTTCATCACATAGGCTACAGTTTAAATAAGCCAGACACTTTTGAATGGAAATCCTTGGCAGTCGCAGCAAAGCAAAGGGTGAGTGTTTTTGTGCAAAAGTTGAACTGCACAAGCATCAATAGAAAAAAATAAAAGTTACTATAGAGAACGGCACAGTGTATTTTGCCAAACTTGACATTCAGACAATAAGTCTCATTTGGACAATTCAGTGCAGCCTTCAGAGGTGTTCAAAACGCAGCAGCTCAGTGGCAATGAAATAAATAGTT